GTCTGAATCTCTTCAATTATTCTACAGTGAGGCACTGGTAAGACAGACCAGAGAACCTACCAACTATTTTAACCCAAATCAGGCAATTCCTAATCTATGTGTTGAATTTTTGTTTAAAGTTCAGGATTTTGTTTAACATGCTTTTCATGAAATTTATAATGAACAACAACTAAGATCTCTAATGAATATTAAAGTAAACATTATTTATCATTGACATCTCAATTAGTTTAAAAAATAAATGTGAAATTTTTTTTATCACAAAAGCATGCATTCTCTAAAGAATAATCAAAGCCTTTGGGATTTAATGAATCAGCAACTACAAATATGTTAAATTAATAAACATACTCTCAACAGTATAAATAATAATTGTCATTAAATTTACTTCTTTTGGTATAGAGACATACATGTTCTAAACACTATAAAGATATAGTGTTTCCTTTAAATAACTGTATTGGAGGAAATTAAAATTTACTTTTGGAATCTGATACAAATATAGTAAATGCAGATCCTTCCTTGAATATACTTTGTATAAGCAAAAATAAAAGGAAGTCTGAACATGTTGTGACTGTGAATGTAGACTGATGAAAGTAATTTTTCCATGAGGTTTATAGAAACAAATTTTTTTACTTTGAAATTCCAATATATATTGGTGTTATTTTTAATTAAATTTATTGAGGTGACATTGGTTAATAGGATCATATAGGTTTCAGGTGTACATTTCCATGATACAAGGTCTGTGTATTGCATTGTGTGCCCATTACCCAAAGTTAAACCATCTTCTGTCACCACATATTAGTGTTAAAAAATTTGTTTAGATCTGGAAAAAAAATCTGTTAATGGGCATAATGTGTCAGTTCTTTGTTAGGGGAAGAGCCTAGGAGTTAGGGCAGGCTGTGCATGAGAAAATCTGGAAAGGCTTTCCAGCAAAAGGAAGGAGGCAAAAGTCAAGGTCAGTGGAGGGGGATTCCATATTCCCCAACATATTGCTCCCTCTCTCTCACTGCCATGACATTACTTCAACCAGAGTCATATTTCATAGTTCTCCCTCAATTCTCCCTCCTCTTCTTTCATTTCTAATCACTTATCAGATGCTATGGTTTCTATCACTTTCTACAATAATGTCTGCAACCTTTTTACCACGCCTCCTGCCTCTACACTTATTCACCAGTTACCTAGTACTTGCCACCACACTAATATCTCTCACCTAGAACACCATTTGCTGCAGGTTTCTAGCAAAGAATGCATTCCTAAAAATGGTCCTAGAATATAAAATATTCCTATTGTTAACTAACGTTTAAGAAATGCAACACACATTTCTTTCTTCTTGGCCAGTCATACACGCATTAGCATGAGACTAATATTTTTCAGAAGTGCTTGTCCGGAACTCTGTTTTCATATAAAATTCTTCAACATCTACTCACTCATGTTGCATAAAACACACTTTAGGAAACAATGGCTTGGAGTATTTAAATAGCCTCTAAACTGCTCTCCTTGCCTAATTTTTCCCTTTCCCTTTCCCAGTGCGTTTAGTATTTCACTGATAGATGACTTTCTGGGAGGTGCTTAACTGAGAATATTATTCCTTTGCTCAGGAACCTTCAGTGGCTCCCCACTGATCTAAGCAGTAAACACTGGGCTCTCCATAACATGCTACCAACATGCCTGGCTGTGTGGCATGGAAGAAAAGTCATGAACTTTGGAATCAGATCCAGGTTCAAGTTCCAACTCTGCATCTTAAATAGTGTAACATCATAGACAAGTCATTTATTGCTTTGAGCCTATATATATATAAAATTCATCTGCAAATACAAGCAGTAATCATAGAGATGGGAGGATATAGTAAGACAGTTTTTTTTGTAAAAGCTTCTTGCACTGACACTCTGTGGCCCCACAGGTTGTAAATCATTTGGTAGGTTGAGTTCTTTCGAGTGGTAGTCACTCAGTGTCTGCCTGTAAAAAGAAAGCAATGATTTTCTAAATCAAGAACCCAGAGGATCACCTATTATTATCAATAAAAACTGATTAATAAAAGAGTCTCTGCCTTTATTTGGGGAACTTTTTATGGGTCCTGAAGAAACAGGAGCCATTTCCTACAGCATATTCAATCTTTTTAGGTGGAACTATCTATGCTATGCCCTTGGTAGAGTGGGTGGGCAGGGCCCAAGAATCAACAGTAGTGCTTGGAAAGCAAATCCTGGGTTCACACACATGAAATGGAAGCCCATTACAAGAGTCAGAAAGCTGCTCTTTTGTTAGATTTAGAAACTTTTAAGTGTTTCTGATTTACTTGATAGTTCCACAAGAATATACAAGGTCTTCAATACGTCTTCTTAAGGGAAAGAGGAATTTTTGTTTGATTTGATTATTAGTGTAGTCCAAGTGCCTGGAATAGTGTCTTGCATGTAGAGGTCGTTCAGTTAATATATGATGGATGAATGGATAAACGAATGAACAAATGAAAAAGATCATGGCTTGCATTTTCTATATGTTCTAGCATAGGGCTGAGTATTCAGAAGATCTTTAATAAATACTTGACTGGCTAAATGCACGAATGTATATATTCCCTAACCAGTCAAGGGCACTTAATAATGTACCTTAAACTAAACATTATTCCAATATAGTCTACTTTATACAACATTGTATTATATTATCTATATTCTCTTTTTAAAAAAATATTACTTTGTTTTTATGTTTCTACTTTATGAAATATTTTTATATCATATATATCATCATTTTCTTTCTTTTAAAATTTATATAACCATGGTTTATTTCTCCCCGCAATACTGGGGAATGTCGCAGCCTAAAAGTGGAAGAGGGGAGAGAAATATTGGGTTGGCCAAAACGTCCGTATGGTTTTTTCCGTAAAATAAAAGACACATTTATCATTTTCACCAATAACTTTATTGATTTGGATATTTTGAGTATGTGGGCTATCTCCTGCATGACAGAACATCGATTATTTCAATTTGGTCGCAATCAGTTTCAACTGGTCTACCCAACCGTGAAGCGTCCTCCAGCCAGAAATCTCCAGCACAAAATTTCACAAACCACTTTGACACGTTTGATCAGTCACAGCACCTTCTCCATATGCACAAATCTTTTTTTGTGTTTCACTTGTGTTTTACCTTTCTTGAAATAATAAAGCATAATATGATGAAAATGTTGCTTATTTCCTTCTGTATTCAGTGTTACAATGGCTACACAAAAATTTACCCATTTCTATAAGCTTTTTTTTAAATGCACACTGATATGACAGCTGTCACAATGTAGTCTAACAACATTGTTTTGAATGAAGTTAAAGACAACAAAACACTACTACAGCCATCTTACAGAAAAAGAAAAATGAATCTTTTGGCCAACCAAAAAGATTTAATAGATATTTTTAGTCAGAAAGTAGAAGTTTTAGTATAAAATTTATTTAAATATACTGAACGAAATGAAGAGGAAAAACAGCTTAAGTTTTTAAAAGACTGGAAGAAGATGGAGGAAAAATGAGGCATAGGGTGTGTAGAACATGTTCAACAAATTTGTTTGGAAAGAATGTTACATTTACACACTTGTTTTTTTCCCCCTGAAGCACTCCACTCAAAGTTTTATAACTATCATTCCCCTGTGAAGAAAGAATAGCCAAATTCTTCCTTCACAGTTACAAGAACCAAGGCTCAGTAATATTAAGAATCAACATACCCAATAAGGGGTATATGCAGGGGTGGGATCCAGGCCTCCTGAGTGTTCAGGACTAAAAGCAGTTGAGTAATGTAAAGTGAGCCTGACACACTTAGAGAACATGAGTAGGGTACTTTGGCTGGAATAAAGAGGGTATATAGGAAAGTTGTAAGAAATCAGGTTAAAGAAATAAATATGAAATAGGTTACAGAGTACCTTAAATAATATAATAAAGAATTTGGATTTTTATCTAAGTGAGTCATTTTGAAATTATTTTTAAAGCAATAAAATCCTTTTTTAAAAAAATAAGAAATCTTATATAAGATGCCAATATGCAAAACAAATTAAAAGGAGGTGGTTTTTCCAACTGAAGCTGTTCCTCCTTACCCTCAGCCTCTGAGGAAAAAAGTTTGAAAACTAAAAAAAATATGAAACAGAAGTTTGAAAAGTCATGAGTGCTGACATGCTATACCAAGAGGCATGGAGGGTGGGTGAAAGGACGTACTACAAAGGCAGGAATCACAGAAGTGGGGCTCTCAGGGCTGCCAGCGGGAAGGGAAGGCAAAGATGCCTGAAGACAGAAGAATCAGAACAGAGCCAGGAATTTCAAAGATTTATACTTGGACAGCTGAGGAAGATAAAACATAAAAAAAAAAAAAAATGGTGAAGGGCAGAGGAGGAGGCTGCTGGTTTTAATGAAAGACAATGATGTACTTCTGACTGTGTTTTAGTCATTTCTACTACACATGTTATGGTCAGAGGAATAGAAAGCAGCTCTTTTTATCCTCTACCAGTTTTCTTCCCTTTTTCATGGCACTAGTCAGGAAGTGGCATTTTGTTATTTTTTTAAAAATTTTAAGTGCTTAAGATTTCACCTGAATGTCCAACATGAAGAAAATGCAAGCTCCTCAATGCCCCATTCTAAAAATAAAAATAAAAAAAGGACCATTTCCATTTTTTTGTAATATTTCTGTTCTTCAGACAGTTCAGGCAGTCTGGATAACTAGCACTTAATTTTTCTTAAAAAATATTTTTCCATTGGAGTTAAGTACAATTAAATTATTTACCTCGGGCACAATTATTTTGAAATACAAGATTTTTGTTGTGTTTTATAAAGTAAATGATGAAAGTAAAACTTGTTCAATATTGTGAATCTGTCCAACTAATAGTAATTCCAAAGAGCATACTTTTAATGGAGAATAAGTTACAGTTTTTGGCAAACTGAGTTTGATGAGAACAATCTCCACCTCTCTTGAGTTTCTGAAACTAGTGATGCAAGTGCTCCCGCCCTTTTCTGAGAACACAGCCTGACTCAGGCAGGCAGCCGCGGCTATTAAAACAGCTCCAGCTCTGCATGCTACCACACTTCCCTGCTGGGGTGAGCGCCGCCGCAGAGATGAAGCTGGTGACCTGGTGCTGGCTGAGCTCAGCTGCCCTTGCTGCTTACAGTTTTTTGGTTGCGGCAAACAATGAAACAGAAGGAATTAAAGATGAATCAGCCAAGGACGCCTGCCCGGTGAGACTAGAGAGCAGAGGGAAATGCGGGGAGGGAGGTGAATGCCCCTACCAGGTGAACCTGCCCCCGCTGACTATTCAGCTCCCGAAGCAGTTCAGTAGGATGGAGGAGGTGTTCAAGGAAGTCCAGAACCTCAAAGAAATAGTAAACAACCTGAAGAAATGTTGCCAAGACTGCAAACTGCAGGCTGATGACAACCGAGACCAGGGCAGAAATGGACTGCTGATCCCGGGCACAGGAACCTCGGGAGGGGCTGATGAAAACCGAGTTACAGAATTAGAGGACGAGGTTAACAAGCTATCCTCTGACCTAAAGAATGCAAAGAAGGAGATCGACGTGCTTCAGGGTCACATGGAGAAGCTAAATCTTGTAAATATGAACAATATAGAAAATTACGTTGACAGCAAAGTGGCAAATCTAACATTTGTTGTCAATAGTCTGGATGGCAAGTGTTCATCTAAGTGTCCCAGTCAACAACAAATACAATCGCATCCAGGTATGTACACCATTTTCTTATCATTTGTCCATGAATGTCATATAGCTAGATAATATCTACAAATATTAACCTGAGCAAGTAAGTTAAATAAATGACAGATTAAATAAATTAAGCCTTTTACTCATCAAGGTAGTACAGGAGAAACTAATATCTTTGCAAATGTGTGACCATTGAAATGATATACAACCCTAATTAGAAAGATTATAATTAGTTTTTTATCCATTAGAAAGCATTTTCAATTTCAAAGATCTTTGCTGATGCTACAGCTACACACAAATCAAAAGAAGACAGACTTTCTTAATGTTTTAGTGCATTCAACTTGTTTATCTCTTCATTGAAGTGTTTGAAAACAACAGGGGTAAGTGTTTGTGGTTGTGCTCAGTTCTTTGAAAATCATTTTCTTGTGGTCTGCTGCTGGCTGCTCCTTTTCACGTGGCAATTAAGAGATGTATAAAAGATTTTAGCAAGTAATCTGCAGTCCATAAACCCAAATATCTAGTGAAAATGGGAGATTTTATAGCTGGAATCTTAAAAGCAGTGATATGGTTTCATGTGTGTATAAAACTTTGTGCTTTGAGACCTAGTAGCACAAAAACATTTTAAGGAGAGTTTTGGCATGCCACTAAAGGAAGGAATACATTATTACTTCTTTTCTTTTCTTTTTTTTAACTTCAAACTAGAATTCAAGCATATAAAAATAGAACCCATCCTCACCATCCAGATTACCTGAATTAACTTTAATAAATACATGTTAAAGATAACAAACCTAACAACCTACTCTGCCCATGAACCAGCCGTAGCACTGGCTTTCCATATGAGTTCCTAGGGCCATTACTTCTGATGGTCTTGTTACACTTTGGAAAGCCATTTCTGCATTAGGACTAGGACTTTCCATGAGTGTGAAGTTGAAGGGATATGGTGCTCGGGGCAGGGATCATGTTCATTTGAAACAAGCACCTCATGCATGTTCCATCCCCAGGGAATCTGTCAGTGAAGGCAGGTAGGGGGTTCAAGGACCACTGTTACTAATACACCAGGCAACGTGTATCTGAGGTTACACTGCACATTGCAAAGCAGAGAGGTTCACATCTTAGGCAACATCCTTGGGCACCCATTAGATTTTTTTGTCTATTTTTCACTAAAAGTTTTGGGAAAATATCCAAATATTTTGAATTCTAAATACACATGCAGAGATTTCTTGTGCCTCAGGGTAGTTTATATTAAACTTACTTTATCTGGCATGAATTTTTATAAAAATTATCTGGGAGTAAATATCTGTGTTTGATTCCTACAGAACCATGTTAACTGATTATTACACTTATCCTGAACACAATCACCTGTCATTTCTTTCTAGAAACCAAACATATGAAATGTGGATAAATGCTTTCCTGGATAATAAATTCAGAATAAGAATATTGGTATACTATTGAAAAAAGTTCCTTTTTACTTGAGCTTTTTTATTTAGTGGTCAAGCAAGTAAAATAAATGTGAATGTATGATCAATGCTGTGCATTAGAATTTTACCACATCACTTAAAACATGTCCTGTAAAACTTTTTGACAGTGGAGGGTACCAGCCCCTTAAGGTGTAAGGAAATAGAAGCCTATGATTCCTTTGTATGTATGGAGTAGGAGGGCTAGAATCATTGGCAGAATGCCCACTGAGGGTAGCCCTCACTAAATATTACTAAATTATTAAAACTATTATTTTTCTTCTTCTTCTTTGTTGTTGATGTCAACAAACTAAGAGTATGTTGTCTACTTTGTAACACCAGGCTCTTATTTTGGTGTTACAAAGTAGACACCCAGGCAAATTAAAGGTCTTCATGTACTATTCATGAAATGTAAAATGTTTGTCATTTAAAATATTTTAAAATGTGGTAGCATAACGTTACTCCTAAAAGCATTCAGAAAATTAATTTAACCATAAAGACCATTGTTTAAGGGTAATTCATTCACAGTTTATAACTCTTTAGGTGTTTGATGATAAAAACTGCTCTAACATAAAAATCATCTTCCTTTTCTCTCTATGGCTAACAGTTTTTAGGATAAGATTGTTCACTACTGTACAAGACTACTGGTAGGCTTTCTTTTCAAAGTATGTTGTCTACTTTGTAACACCAGGCTCTATGCCTTAACAAAAATTTGAACAGGTTCAAGTAAGATTAGCAGGGCAGGGTTCCGTGGTCACCATAGATGGAACTGGCAAACTGCTTTTGTACATACAAAGAATTCTTCAGATGCATAGTTTTTGAACAAAATCCAATATCTTTCTTTTCTTCCCTCTTCAGTTCAACATCTAATATACAAAGATTGCTCTGAATACTACACAATAGGCAAAAGAAGCAGTGAGACCTACAGAGTTACACCGGATCCCAAAAATAGTAGCTTTGAAGTTTACTGTGACATGGAGACCATGGGGGGAGGTTGGACAGTGCTGCAGGTGCGTCTCGACGGAAGCACCAACTTCACCAGAACCTGGCAAGACTACAAAATAGGCTTTGGAAACCTCAGAAGAGAATTTTGGCTGGGAAATGATAAAATTCATCTTCTGACCAAGAGTAAGGACATGATTTTAAGAATAGATCTTGAAGACTTCAATGGTGTCAAACTCTATGCCTTGTATGATCACTTTTATGTAGCCAATGAGTTTCTCAAATACCGCTTACATGTTGGTAACTATAATGGCACAGCTGGAGATGCTTTACGTTTCAACAGACACTACAACCATGATATGAAGTTTTTTACCACCCCAGACAGAGACAATGATCGGTATCCGTCCGGGAACTGTGGTCTCTACTACAGTTCAGGCTGGTGGTTTGATGCGTGTCTTTCTGCAAACTTAAATGGCAAATATTATCACCAAAAATACAAAGGTGTCCGTAACGGGATTTTCTGGGGCACCTGGCCTGGCATGAGTGAGGCACACCCTGGTGGCTACAGGTCCTCCTTCAAAGAGGCCAAAATGATGATCAGACCCAAGCACTTTAAGCCATAAATCACTAATGCTCATTTCTCTGAGCATTTGTTATGTAATAGGGCAATAAATTCCTTTTGTACTCCTTTTCCATGGTTAAAAATTTATTTCTGAGCAGTGGGTACTTATGCTACACAGCATTTGAAATAAAGCTGAACAATATACATTTTAAAGGAATTCTTTGTTGCTGTTATGCTGTTATGCAAAAAACAAAACAAAACAAAACAAAAAAACTCAGAACACTTGCAGGCACCTGGGAATATTGAAAATTACACTTTAGATTTATAATTCTCCTAATTTCTACTAATAAGAAAGGTTTTTATTAGTTGTATTACTTGCTATAACCTAAAAATAATTGGTTATTCAGCAGGCTAGATTTTACACAAGTAATTTGTATTTGGCTATGACTTAAACATTCTGAGGGAATACCACTCTTTTGGGTATATAAAGAATTATTTAGGTATTTATTTGTGTCTAAATAGCCTAATCCTTATTCTGAGATGAACTTTTTCAATTTATGGCATTTACTTTGAGTCAGGAAGACCAGAAAGCATTTTAGTTCCCAGGCAAATTAAAGGTCTTCATGTACTATTCATGAAATGTAAAATGTTTGTCATTTAAAATATTTTAAAATGTGGTAGCATAACGTTACTCCTAAAAGCATTCAGAAAATTAATTTAACCATAAAGACCATTGTTTAAGGGTAATTCATTCACAGTTTATAACTCTTTAGGTGTTTGATGATAAAAACTGCTCTAACATAAAAATCATCTTCCTTTTCTCTCTATGGCTAACAGTTTTTAGGATAAGATTGTTCACTACTGTACAAGACTACTGGTAGGCTTTCTTTTGAAGAGGTTGGTGTGGGTGGAGAATGAAGCATTTATTTATAGGCTATTATATTCTGAAAGCCTATTTTATATCCTAAGCAATAATCGCTTTAAAGCTAAGTTTTATATGACAAATAGGTAAATCTATTTATAAAAAGCATATGAATTTTGAAATGTGTAGAACAGTAGTTTGAATAATGTATATTTTATCCCTAACTGGTGTATTGGTTATTTTACTATCAGAAGATTCAAATACAGGTGTTTATTTTTTAATCAAACAAAAGTATTTGGGTATTTTATAATTAATATCATATTCAAAAAATTATTAAAGAAGAGTTAAGTTTCATCATTGTAAAAGGGATCATTTTAGAGAGAATAGCAATGTTCTGCTGCATGTTTAAAATACTCAAATAAAATTTGAATACTGTATGTGAGTCATAGAAATATAATCTTTAATGTCTAGTGCCTGTTTCTACTATCGTAACTAAGATTTCAAAATATATTCACAAAGATTCATCTTTACTCATTATTTGAAAATGATTAAGGAGGATAGTTGCCTTCTTAACAAGTTAATTTTTCGAGCATTGTCCTTTACAGAAAATTCTAATAAAAAAGAAGCAAATATACTTTTAATGATATATAATATACATGGTTTTCAGGTAAACATAATGAACATTAAGTTATTATGAATACTGTTAAAATGTTAAAGAAAAATACAAATAGAACTAAGTTATGACCAAAATGTATCACCATCGACTAAAACCTATAATTGTAGATTTCAAAGGTTGCATATCTACCCAATAGGATATCAATGTAAATGTTGTAACTAATTTACTCTTTATTTCACTCTTTTGTGTTTTTAATCAACGTTTTTATAATATACAGTGTATTTATTACAAATAAGGGCATTTTGATTTACTATATACAATTATTAATATAAGTGTAAGTTTAACTAAATTTAAATTTCTGTGATCAAAAATGTACTCCTCCTAGAATACAGTTCTAAAGAAAAATAGCTCATATAGTGAGTATGCACTGATATAATAGGAAGTAGGTATCATTTCAGGAGAATTTGGCATATCACTCATTAATCCATGTAAATACTTAAAAGCTTGTCCTTCTACCTTTCCACCCTGTTTCAAAGGATCAAAATTATATTTTCCATTATACTTTTATGGCACTTTTCTAATAAAACATTCTATAACATACAAATTTTTTAAAATCATTTCATGCCGCTTATTATTAAATATATTTTAGATTTTTATATTCTTTAACATGTTGATGGAAGTAGATTATATCTAAAAGAGTCTTTTGCATTAACTATTTACTAATATATGCTAATGTTCATAAATGTGGATTTACTATTAACAAATATCTTTTTTCAGAGTCTTGTATTGACAAATATATGTCATTTTAATTAAAGCTTTATTTATGAGCTTTATCATTCTTTGAAAGTATTGATCAAAATGGGTCCTTAGAAATTCCAAGTGGAACTGCTTCACTCATCGCTGAGAAAAAAATAAAATATTTCTGATAAGCAATAATGGTCCAATGAATTAATTATATATCCATTTAACACATAAAGAACTTAAATATGCAAAGCATAGAAGATATTCTGGTAACAAAATTTGCTGGCCTTACTTTTGAATGGCTATCCAGAGAAAGGTTTTAAAAAGTTATGGGTGATGTTATCACAATAAGCTCTAGTTTATAATTCTTATTTTTCTTTATGTATAAATACATTTGTTTTGTTTTTTTAAAACCCTGTAAAATAAAATATTCAATCTTTACATCTCTTTATTTCGTCAGTGTGAAAACATAAAACATTATTGTCTGTGAAATAATATTTATATATTACTCTTGACTGAACAGTTGTATAATGTTTACCTAACCAGACAGTATCTTTTGACTCTTTGAAGACTTTAATGAGTATAATTCGACTAAAGGGAAGACAAGGGAAAATACAGAAACACCATTATCTTATTTCCCTCTATTAGAATACTGTTGACACATTTGAAATACAAAAGTTTCAGTTTCATTTTGAGGCACTGAACTCCATCTCCCCCTTTTCCACCATTAATGCTCTGCTTCAGCCCTCATTATCTCCTCAGGATAAGGCAGGTGCTTCCTGAGAGTAACCTGTGCCTCCGTTTCAATCTATTCCAATCCGTCTTCCACATCACTGCCAGAGGGATTATTCAAAAATACAGTTCTGACCATGTTATTGTCCTGCTTAAAACCTTTCAGCAACTCATTTCCTGTATGATAAAATCCATCAAATAAGCCCCTTCATGAACCAGTTTCTGCCTACCTTTTAGCATTCTTCTCTACCACTACTCACACTCCTGCCATACCAGGTACCTTGTTCTTGAACAAACTATGTTGTTTCATATTTTCTATGTTGTTTCATATTTTGTGTATACAATTAGTATACACAGGGTGAAGAATATATCCCTTGGTTTAGATAGAATGCCATCCTCAACCCCCGTTGAATTTATTTTCTCATCCATGACCTAAGAGCAGGGACTCAGGAGCCAGACTTGCTAGGTTTGAATTTTAGGTCCATCATTTGCAAGCTGTGTGATCACAAGCAAAGTCACTTATCTCTCTGTTCTTTGGTCTCTTCAATTACAAAATAGGGATAACAGGAAAATTTTCCTGTTAGAGTCATTGAGCAAATCAAATGATAAAACCTATGTAAAGCACTCAGAACATACATCTGTATCATTATCATCATCATCATCCTAAATAGGTATTTCTTCTTGGCAGTCTTCTCTCATGACATTTGGAGGAGTTTGGTACCTTCCCTTTTTGGTCCTATACCATTGTGATATTCCTATTATATGTTATATTATCTAGGTTATCTAAGTTCTGCCCTAAAATTAATCTGTCTAGGATGTAAAGGAAATTTGAGACAGGAGTGTTTTTACTCAAAGTGTTTCATGAATATGTCACCATGGAGGAAGGGCTATAGTCTAAAGAAGTCAGAGTTATAATAGGGGAAGGAGTGGGTGCTTTTAGAGAATTTGGGAGATGGTATATGCAAGTGAGAAGTGATTGCAGCCAGCAGAAAATAAGGCAGGACCAGACCAGATTTATACTATAGGATTGGGTAGAATAACAATGGCCAACTTTTAGAATAGGTTCTGGGAACTGAGGCGGGTTATTAAGGAAGTCGTTCCCTGGCAAGTGGAATGAGGAAACTGAGACAAATGGCTGAACAAATGGCTGGAATAGCTGAGCAACTAATAGTCAACTAATAAATCACAAGACCTTATTCTCTGTAACCAAAGATACCTAAGAGAAAATGGTTTAAATTACCTTGTCAGGAAGAAAGGTAACAAAAAGCCAATTATGGCTAGACTAATCCAAGATAGAGGTGAAACTAACCAGAGAATAACTCCTGCCCTGCCCCCACTACATGCTCATTTTGCTACATTAGCCTGCTAAATGACACACCTGTAGATCTAACAGATATTCTGTTGAAATCTTTCCCTGGGACCTCCCCTAAAATTCCTGCCTATAGAAAATAATTGGGTTGGCCAAAAAGTTTGTTGTTTTCCATAAGATGGCTCTATTAGTGCATAGTTGTCTTTAACTTTACTAGAAACAATTTTGTTAGATTGTATTGTGACGGCTGTCATATCAGAGTGCATTTTAAAAAACTCATTGAAATTGTGGTTTTTTGCATAGCCATTTTAAAATTGAAAATGAAAGAAAATAAGCAACATTTTTGGCATATTATGCTTTATTATTCCAAGAAAGGTAAAAATAAAACTGAAATGCAAAAAAAGATTTGTGCAGTGTATGGAGAAGGTGCTGTGATTGAGCGAACATGTCCAAAGTGGTCTGTGAGGTTTTGTGCTGGAGATTTCTCACTGGACGATGCTCCACAGTTGGGGAGACCAGTTGAAGTTGATAGCGATCAAACTGAGATATTAATTGAGATCAAATTTCTACCATGAGGGAGATAGCCAACACACTCAAAATATCCAACTCAGTAAAGTTACTCATGAAAAAGAAAAACATGTCTCTTATTTTATGGGAAAAAACCAAACTTTTTGCCTAACCCAATAGATAAAACCATCCGATCAAAGGATGGCAGCAGATGCTCTTCTTTGAGTACATCTGTGCTCCCTTTCCTCAGGTGTGTACTTCGTTTCTATCCTAAGTTATAATGGTTCTGTCGAAATGTGAACCTACGGGACAAATGGGCAGTGGCTGCTCATCCCGGGCTGACCACCTGACCCTGTCTCTAGGAGCCCTTTTTTGTGCCTCACTGTCCCAAACATTAATACAGTTACTCTCACTTTCATCCGGACTCATGTTTTAAAATTTTCCATGCACAAGTCAAGAACCTGGAGGTCACTTCACATGGGAAAGGTCCCAGACCTTGCGGGGGCAGGGCCAGACCCCATCATGGAAGCAGTCCAATAACAGGAACGCACCTCTGTGTACATGTCATGTGGAGAGGGTATGATTGTAGTGGACTGGACAGTGATTGTTCTGAGATTCTGAAGAAAAATTATTTTCATACTTCTTATACTATACTGTAATTTTGAAATTAATTTTAATCATACAAGATTCATGAATGCTTTAATTTTTTAAAATTACAGATTTGATTAAAGACCTCTTTGAAAACCATCTTCAATTCCAAATCTCCTCCCTCTCCCCTGGGGTAACAAGCTGAATCCAAACTGTAATTCTATTCTATTTTGTCAAGTTGCAATGTCTGCTGAATCATAGCTTTGCCAGGTTTCTCTTTTTTATCAGCTGGGGAGAGCTGGAAGTGAGAATAGAAACTGGAGAAGTTGGCTATTCTTGGAGAACTTGGAGGCTCCAGAATTCCCAAAAGTGACTGAGCCACCTAGGCTCCTTGACATGTTCCCTAAGGCTCTTCTTGTTGGAAGACTGTTGCTTTTTCTCATGAGAGAGCAACCATAATTCCCCCTTAGGCTCCTTCATCCCACTCTTCGCCACCTCCAGGTCTGTAACCAGGGTATATCCTGATGTCAACTGTAAAGTCAAATTAAGGAGAAGCCTTTATACTGCTTTGCCTATTGCTTCAGCAGAAAACTAGGGAATACATATGGAGACAGATTTTAAGGTTGTTTGAGTAAGGAAGAAAAAACAAAATTTCAGATGTGATTGAATCCACTGATATAGGTATATTTCCCATAAATTTTAAAAAATTACATTTTATTATTTGTGCTAGTACAGTTGTCCTAATTTTCCCCTTTTGCCCTCCTCCACCCAGCACCCCCACTCCCCTAGGCAATCACAACACCATTATTAATGCCCATGGGTCCTGCATATATGTTCTTTGACTACTCTATTCCTTATGCTGTATTTAGATTCAATTGTTGATAGGTATGTTTTTATTGCCATTTTATTGTTCATATTTTTTATCTTCTTTTTCTTAAAGAAGACCCTTGAACATTTCATGTAATACTGATTTGGTGGTAATGAACTCCTTTAGCTCCTTTTTCTTTTCTTGGAAGCTCTTTATCTGTCCTCCAATTCTAAATAACAGCTTTGCTGGGTAGAGTAATCTAGGCTGTAGGTCTGGGCTTTTCATCAGTTTGGATATTTCTTTCCAATCCCTTCTATCCTGCAATGGTCTTTTTAGAAATCAGCTGACAGTTTTACAGGGGCTCCCTTATAGGTAACTAACTGGTTTTCTCTTGATGTTTTTACAATTCTCTCTTTGCATTTAACCTTTGACATTTTAATTATGATGTGTCTTGAAGGGGCCTCCTTAGGTCTATCTTGTTTGAGACTCTCTGTGCTTCCTGGACTTGTATGTCTATTCCTTCACCAAGTTAGGGATGTTTTCTTTCATAATTTTTAAAAATAGTTTTCCAATTTCTTGCTGTCTCTCTTCTCCTTCCAGCAATTCTATGATGTAAATATTGTTATGCCTAAAGTTGTCCTAGAGGCTCTGTAGACTATTCTCATTTTTTTAGATTCATTTATTCTTTCTGTTCTGATTGATTGTTTTGGCTTTCTTATATTCCAAATCGCTGATTTGATTCTCAGCCTCTTCTACTCTACTGTTGATTCCCTGCAAATTGTTCTTTATTTCAATTAGTGTATCCTTCATTTCTGACTGGATCTTTTTCATGCTGTTGAGGTCCTCATTAAGTTCCTTGAACATCCTTATAACCAGTGTTTTGAACCCTGCATATGACAGATTGCCTTTCTTCATTTTG